TTGGAAAGTGCAGTAGATCTCCACTGCCTATAGTGGGAGTTAGGAATATAGCTGATGTGAAAACAGAAAGGTGAATAAGAAGATGTATCATACCTTTAGTCTTTTCAGATTCAAGTTATAATCTCCTAGTATGTAATTAATCTAGAAATGATTGAAAGAATTCACAAAATGTTGTAGAGTATGACTGAATATACACACATACTTTGCATTTACCCTAGACAAGTAGGTAAGAACCACTCTAAGAAGCTTAGAACTCTAGTCAGGTGTGAATTTTTATAAGCTGCACTTCTTTAGTGACTCTAGAGGTGGTTAGAGAACTGAAAAAGCTTCTCATTTCATATTATCAATCACACTGCTCTGAAGAAGAAATTTAAAGATTGATTGACATAGAGTGATACCCTCCGTTTTTGCTAAGCAAAGGAACCTTCAGTTGTTTCATCTAGCTCAATATATATTGAAAAGGTCAGAACTTGATGAACCTAAGTCTGACAACTGCCTGGTTAATTTGCTTTTCTTTGGCAGTACAGAGAAATACCTCTTTGCCAAATGCCAGCTGAGCTGGGGAAGGAATTTATAAGTTTGCCTCATAATGTCAGTTATCCAAACTAGGATTTAAAGGGCTTCTACACCATTACTACATGCAAATTCATATACTCTTGTAAAATCATGTACAGTCAGATGTAATGTGTGCATTCCAAGAGGATTTAGAGGCTTAGCATTTCCTACAGGTTACCTACAGTATCTCTGTATAAATAAGAACAGGACTCATGTGGATCCATTCACTTTCTCTCCAGTGAGTTACAGGGTATTTAAGTACTTCATTTTATAAGGACTGCATTGTTTCCACTCCTGGGCAAGAAATCTAATTTAGATGCCTATATTAGATTTACTGGATCTGAGCAACAGTCACAGTATTCAAAGACTATGCATTATTCTACTGATGTGATTTGCAAAGCCTCTGAAAGTCATATTATTAAAAGTGTTGCGGAAGAAAAGGCAGTAACACCTATGCTTTACCCTATGCTATATTTAAGTTTCCCAGTTAACCAGTGATCTACACTGGTTACAAACTGATCTACAAGTGTTAAAAACAGTTGCAAAGAATGGCCATTATAAAAATAGCACACCGGTGGAGCACAATTTGTTTTTAACTTAACCATTTCTACAAGAAAGTATTTGTGCTCTTTATATCATGCACATCTTTGCTGAGAAACACTGAAACCTAAAGTGTAACATCCTCACTCTTTACTGTCATGCTATTCTAGGTACTCTGTATCATATGTTAACTTCTAACTCTTGCTTGTAAATTCCTTCAGCAGCCCAAGTGTCATTAGCAACTTCCCTCACTCTTAAGAAACACCATGAAATAATGTTTTGCCCAACAGAAGATGCACACATTTTTGGCTCGTGCTGTAGCCTCAACATTAGCAGATACATTACACAGTGTATAGACAAACAACAGAAACCAGCTTTCCTTCTCAGTAAATGTGATTACATAATTAATAATCAAAATAGGCAGAGGCTAAAACATGATGATGAATTGCACTGAATGTTTCCAGATGCAACCTGAGTTAGAGAATAGGAGATGCAAACACAGAAGAAACTATTCTGTTTTGGAAAAGATAGAGAGAAATACAAGGAAAATACAGCGGAATAGATACAAACTCTTCTACACTGTTTGCCTTCATAGCCAGAAGTTAATGTTTTAGCTTCATCTGCAGACAAGGTTAGACTTTTGTCTGAGTAGAATTAGTGAGGGTTTAAATGAACTGTTTTGCTCCCTGAGGTGGGGGGATGATAATCACTGTATCATGTCATCAGAGAACGAGATGGGAACACCTTTAGCTATTCTAAACAGACCTTAATGGATATATCTTTCCCCAACTGTGGAATTTCACCCCTAAGGAAAAAAAAAGGTTTATAAGAATATTCTACTATAAAATAATGAAATGAACACATATGTTTATGTCCAGGTGTATATGCACTAATATAGGCTGGGGGCTACCCAGTTGGAAAGTAGCTTGTCAGAAAAGGAGCCAGCACTGTGCCTGTGTTTCAAAGAAGGCAGGTGACATCTAGAGCTGCATCAGAAAAACTGTTGTCAGTAAGTCAAGAAAAGTGAAATAAACATAAATTAAGATGTGTTTTCTGTATGGATCAACATATATATCTGCAACGCCTATTGAAAGGAAGTGATTAAATGTGAAATAATTTCTTATATTGGTCAAACCACCAATTTTTCTTAGTTTGACTTCAATGAAGAAACATAAACTGCTTCAAGTTTAGCAGATGGTTTCAGGCCAATCAAAAAAGTTCTATGGCAACATGGAAGGTTCTATTATTTCATTTTCATCTTCACAATACTTTCCTTTTAACATGTTGATACTGCTTAGCTTCTCCTAATTCTGCTATTGAATTATGAATTACATTGTTTGATATTGTACTACTTAAGTCTGACTACACTGCCAACATAATTACTGCACCTGGAGACTGAAATGAGGTATTATGAAAACTCAGGCTATAAATTTTAACATTTATTTTAAGAGGATCTCAGCACAATCTTTCCAAACTGTTTATAATCTTTGTAGTCTATAGCTTCATCTTTTTTATCGAATTCAAAAGTAAAGAACCCAAATCTTTTTTTTGTCAAGGGTTCAATCATTAGCTGCTAACTTTGACATGGCTTCTTTCCTGAGAGTTCTTCAGTTAATTCTCAGTGCAATGAAAATGATAGAGAAATTTTCTGAAAGATACACAATGGAATTAATGTTCAGATTAACACAACTGTTTTAGGAGTGTATAGGTAAGTGTCAGTCGTGAGACAACAGTTATACAGGGATCTGCCTTAAACATTATGGATAAAGAGCTAAACCACTCAACTTGGTAATTCTGCGATCACTAGTTTACAAGCAAATAGCAGTGCAGAGGTAACCAAAGTAAGACATGTCTAGATGTAGCAAAATCCCTACTGGTTGGAGGAATGCAGCTAAATTTGTAAGCCATATATTTAGAATCTGTAGCAGGTTTAAAGCTTATGAATATAAAAGTAGTTTGAAATCTCACCTCTAAGTTTTTTTAGCAGGTACTTTATATACCATGAAACCACAGAACCGTAGAATAACAGAACTACAGAACAGGTCCAAGTTGGAAATGAGTCTGAAAGATCCTGTGGTCCAGCCTTTCATGAGAAAGGGAACCTTTCTGATAAGAATGAGATCATTACATACCTTACACACACACATACATACATAACCTAATATTTCACATAAGACTATTGAAAAGGAAAGTAAACCTTTTAATTCCCCCATAACTTTCAGCAATTCACAGAACAGATAAAAAAGTTGTACTCCTTTCATCTGACTACTGTCAATAGCCTAACTTAACTCATTAACTTATTGGTAGATCTTGAAGATAGCAATTATAAAGAAATTTGTAAATTATAAAGAAGATTATATTATTATAAAGAAAATTATTATTCAGAACTAGTGGAGGGACCAAGAACCAATAAAGCTTTCATGATTATTCTACACAATAAGAGCTAGAAGTGAGAATAGTGTGTGAACAACTTAAGATACTTTTTGTAAGTGCTTGGCAGATTAAAAAAAACAACACTTAAAACACTGCAATTATGCACAGTGTTGCCTGTGACCTTCTCAATCGGCATAGATGTAGAAAAATAAAAAGCTCATTTTTGACATTTAAACCTTTAAAACTGTCATATTTGACTGTTTCCTTTGCACATTTTATATTAGAATGTAAAACAACAACAACAACAAAAACCCTCTGAGCTGTATAAGCACTGCTCAGCAATAGCCAAAACATATCTGTATCACTGTATCACTGTTTTAACCATAAGTGAAAAGCACAGCACTATATGGACTGCCATAAAAAAGTTTATTCCACTCCAGCCAGATTCAGTACACTATCTGAAAGGAGAATGATAGTATGGAAACATGGGAGAAAATTGATATTTAGTTGTCTAAAAAAATTTAAAAGGAAACTGAAGTCTGAATCACAGATTCATAGAAGCATTCATAGGAAGGGAGATCCAAAGGACCTCCAGTGGCCAACTAGTTTAACTTCTCACTCAAATCAGGGCTAGTGCCAACAATGGATTTGGGAATTCAGGAAAACCTTCAAGGAAGAAGATCACTTAGACTTTGAAAAAATAGCTGCATTTGTTCACTGCATTCCAAGTGATTCTGCTCAAGCCAATATCCAATCTGAACTGTCCATGTTACAAGTTGAGGGGTTTGCCTCTTATTACATTTTGTGGTACTCTTAATAATTTGGTTCCATGATCTTTCCTTCAGGTCTTAAGTTGCTATTTGGTCATCACTTAGCCTCCTCTTCACTAGACTGAACAAGACCACTTCTTCAGCTTCTCCTTTCCTAGATGATATACCATCTTGGTAGCCCATCCCTGGACCTTTTCCAATTTGTTCCTATGCCTTGTGAATCGCGGAGTACAAAATTGGAAACAATGTTGCAGGTGCAGACTTATCAGCACCAGATATTATGTGAATAATAACTTCGTATGGCCTGCTGATGGAATTTTTCCTGCTGTAGAACAATATACAATTTTCCTCATTCATACTGTTGACTCTGAATACGCAGCTCGGTATCCATCATAAGCCCCATATGTTTGAATTTTTTTTTGTTTGGTTTTTTTTTTTCTGAGAACATTTACTATTCCGTCTACCATTCATAGCATGTTATGAAATCTGCTGTTACTCTTCTTCAGTTTTACAACTCTGCCCTTCTTGCATATCTGTTGGCCCGTTTCTCAAATTTATTGAGGTCCCCCGGGGTTAAGGGCTATCAATAATTTTTTCTAATTCTCAACAGTTTTTCTTTTAAACATACAGAGTATTCAGCAGTTGCAGATTATAAACTGATGCCGGTTTTCACAATAAGACAATAACATTATTATTATAATTACTATCATTACTATCATTACTATCATTATTATTACTATTATTACATAACTGTAAAAATACCTGAGGTGGAAGGAGTGGTAATCTGATATAAGCAAGTAGCATACTTAGGTCGTTGCATCGCCTCTGCATATCATACTTCACCCACATCATTAAGGCATGGAAAATGGTCTCTTCATCAGGAACGTTCACATCATCACTAGCAAGAAGTTTATGCAGCTCATCAGCTGGTAGAAGTAAAAATTCTTGATTTCTTATCACTTCCATTATATTCTCCTGAGAAGAAGAAAGTATTTCAGATTCAGTAATACAGCAAGAAAATAAAACATGTCATAGCTAATAGGACCATAGGATTAGCCTGTATCTGCCATACCCAGACATGGGTGACCATGTTCTTACAGGTCATGAGAAAAAAAACCCCACAGATGAGTTCAACAGCTGTAGTTGCAATTCATTTATAAATATATTCAGAGAAAAATATGAAGACTATGAGTTAATATTGTAATTAAGAATTGCCAGAACTCATAAAGGCTATATTTGAAAATTTTATAAAACTCAGTTGTAAATCAGCACATTCAATATATTGTAAATCTTTATATGGACATACTACATTTTCCTGTGTTTTTCACTATCTGATCTATTTCTTAAATAACTTGTCAGTCATATACAGTTTTATTATCAATACCCAGATGATGTCTGCCTACATGCATGACAAGGCTGAGAGGAAGATCAACACCTGAACTTAGCATTACTTCTTGAATTTATTTAGAACAGATTGTTAACATCCAGTTAACATTCAAAATGTATACAGTAATTAAGGTCTCACAGTATTGAAATTTATAATACCATCATGGTTTAGGGATGGTACTCAGCAGTTCAGTGCTCTCCCCAAGACTTTCCAAACCACTTGTTGCTTTCTCACTCCCCTGCCTTTCCTCTCTCCCTCCCGCTTTGGGGCAAGCTGAAGAGGAGAACTGGAGGCACAAAAGGCAAAGCTCAGGAGCTGAGATAAGAAAAAATTTACTGGAATCAGCAATGAGATAAGAAAATGAACAGTGACAGCAACAATACTAATGAGAGAGGATAGAAGAAAGGAATACCACCCACTCCACCCCTGACAATAGACAATACTGGACAGTTCCCTCCACCTCATTTAGTGGACTGATGGAACCCCTTCTCCTCTTAAGAGATTCCCTTTGTCCCCAGCAATGACCTGAGGTGTTTCTCAGCTATGCCCCCTCCCGGCTACTGCAAAATTAACCTATTCCTGCTTGATTCACACACACAAAAATAAATCTAAACTATATAAGTTACATAAAACATATAAACTAAATAAAAAAGTTTCATTTAGTTGACTGAATCCTAAGGATTGAATTAAGCACTCCCTGAACTACAACACTGACAGGACACAACAGAATCACAGTTCTGCAGGGTATTTTTCTCCAAACATTTCTTTTAGAGTGCCTGATCTCCACGGAGAAATTGAAAATTCTTGATTCATAGACAGTTTTGAGATGAGAGTGAAGCAGTTGTATACAGGAGGCACACGAAAAAGTCCCCTTTTTTATATATAAACAAAAAAAAATATAAAAAGAAATAAAAGGAGCAGTAAGTTATAACATCTAATAAATAAAAGATAATAATGAATTTCATAATGCTATTTTGAATAGACTTTGTGAGAGCAAGACAAGAAGCAGGGAAGGAATGACAAAACTTCAGTCATCAAGTGTAAGAACATCAAAACTGAGGGAAGTGGATAATTCCACTGCTACACCTGCTTGATTCAGTTCTTAGCATATCAAAATCCAAATCAATGCTGTCTATAATTGCTTGTTTGAGTCTAGGCCATTATAACAAATTCAGAAAAAAAGGTGCAAGTCTTATAACATCAGAATTATACTCAGGCTCTAGTGTGTCACATGTTGTCCTCCTCCTCCATCCCAAGTGATAGAAGGAAATTCCTATTTCAGTTCTCCAAATAATTATTTTTTTGAAATGTACTGCTTAAATGAATTTAGTAAAAATTAACTACATTTTTTTACCGATTAAATGAATTTATTAAAAATTAACTGCATATTATTTTATATAAGGTAGCAGAGACTAATAATGAAGACCTAGACATGACAAAATCATGGCAGACAGAAGTTCCTTGAAATATGTAATGTAATTCCAGATGAAATGCATACGTGCAGATAGAATAAATTAGATAAAGCTGAAAATGATGCTTATAGCTATGAATGTAAATACTTTTATATGTAAAACTTAACTTTCAATGAGTTACTTTTTAACTTTATATACACACCCAAAGTGGGATGCTGACACAAAGACAATCAAAGGTGTTCATGTGGTCATGGACTGTATTAACCATGCTGTTAAGTTATCTTAACATAAGAGATAACTGGACTAAAACATGACTCAGTTCTTTAAATCACTAGATTAAATGTCAATATGTCCCTAAAAAATAGATTTTTATGTAACATGTTTTAATCCATTAACTCCTGATAAATTGTGTAAGTAGCACATTGCACGATAGCTTGGATATGTGAGGGAACTAGTTTGCAGGCACTTAACCACAAGTCGGCTTAATTAATTTTAATTAAAATGCCATAAAACTCAGAAAATTTCATTGCACTTCTCAATAAAATGATTTAAAGGCCAAAGTTTAATTAAACCTGGTTAAACTGACATTAAATTTCGTTATGAAAAAAATATGACTCTCCTTCTTAATAGGAACCAACTTTGCAATAGCATAATAATCTGAAGACCTAATATTATAGAGAAGCATTGTGATGGTGGAACACATTTAATGAACTCACAGAACTTTAATTAAAAATAACATTGAAAGTAGGAGCTCTAACTTCAGAATAATAATTTTAGGTTTGATTAGGTATTTTTTATAATTTTAATCTTTTTATTTGTATATATGCCTAAGAACTTATTCTAACCTCTGTACTGATTGACCATGGACCAAAAGTAAAATTAGAAAAGTTTTCATACAAAACATATAAGTTCAAATCTCTTCTTCTAAACATCTGGACTTACTCTAATTTCCTGTTGTATTTTCATGTCTAATTCCCATCAGTATTGCAGAAAATGACATTTAATAAAAATTCTTTACATAACCATATAGTTTATATATATACATATATATATATATATGCACACACACATTTATATGGTATAATCATACATATATATATATATATATAAAATACATAAATAGCAGCAATAAAATCCCATTTCTTGACCTTCAGAGCTAAAAACTCTTTCCTTTAAGTCCTTAGCATATCCTAAATTGACTATTGAATGCTTAACACTTGCTAGATAACATTTTAATTACTTGAGGTTAATTTCTTTCAGAAGAGCAAAGCATTTTTCAATGGCTTGCTGTTTTATAATAACAGAAATAATTTCTCATATTCTTATTGTGAAAAAATATCCCCCCCCCCCCCCTTTTTTTTTTTTTTTAATGTGACTAGTCTTCAGTTTTGCACTTCAGGGAACAGGATTCAACAGATTTTTGTGATCTACTAGTTAAAATTTTCAGGATAAATTGAATAAATTTTAATTATAGTGCACGATAGGAATTGAGCTGCACAGTTATAGAATCATAGTGTCATTATGGCTGGAAAAGACTTAAGATCATCAAGTTCAACCATCTTCACAACTAAACCATGTCCCTAAGTACCACATTTAGATGGTTTTTGAACACTTCCAGGGATGGTGATTTGACCACTTTCCCAGGCAGACTGTTCCAATGCTTGACCACCCCTTCAGTGAAGAAAATTTTCCTAATATCCAATATCAACCTCCCGTGACACAACTTGAGGCTATTTCCTCTCATCCTGCTCTAGCAAAGTGCTTTCAGGAATGTTTAGGTCCTCATGGGCTGATAAATCTTAATTGCAAGAGTAAGAGTGCTGAACATTAAAGCATGCCCAAGGTTATGTGACAGAGTTGTATGAGTTTTCAGGACCTGTAATTTTTGACTCTGATACTCAATAAGCTTTGTAGATCTGGTCATCACTGTCCCATAAGTCTCATAAGATCAACTGGGTTGTAACTAATGCCTCTTCTGCATGAGTCATTCACTTAGCCTTTCCCTTCAGCAAAAGCTGTAATGTTGTAATTAAGTGGAGTAGCGGATTTTTGCTTTTAATTCAGAAAAAGTAGCTTACAATAGAAAGTATGAAAGTCGCTGAACCTGCTTGAAGAAAGTTATGTGTCACTTGATTGCTCTTTCACTTTCATAAAATGGCCACATAATAACCCTTGCTGTGGGGTTATAGCATTTCCATGATAGAGCTGTTTCACTTTTAAGTCTTTTCAGTTGCACACAGGGTGAGAATTAAATAACCATGAAGTATTAGAACAGTAAAGCCACATAAACAAAATGTATCTATATTCAAAGGTAAATAAGCAAGCACTTGAATATCGGATAGATTGTGCATCATAGGAACATAACAAAATTAAACTACTACCAAATGAAATTTAATGGCATGTATCTTTATAAAAATGTCCCCAATACAAATGAATTAGGGTTGGGGTTTTTTTAACCTTGACTCGTAATGATCATTATTTCACATGGAAATAAATTATCCTGCAAAAGTGAGTTCTCATCGATGTTTATGTCATTGATTTCACTAATCAGCAGCTATTAGTTGTAAGGAAGAACCTGAAAAATATTAAATAATTTCATATGTTGACAAAGAATGCCATGTCCTGAGAGTGCTATTTAGAACCTGTTACATCAGAGTTGCCATGGAAGTAAAATGTTTAGCAGGTTTTTTTTGTTCTGGATGCAAGGGTCTTATTTAAAATGTTTTACATTTTCGTGATTTTGATGCTGTGGCCTTACCAATACAAAAATGAAAACTAATGATGAAAAAAAAAAAAAGATATCCAGATATTAGGCCTTCACTTAATTAGTACATACCTAATGTCTATGAATATTTTAAGCCCACACAGATTTTAGTTCAGACCCTAAGTTTTCCAATCTAAATAATATCGTATACTTCCTCCAGTGCTAAAGACATGGAAACAAATTTTAATTTTGGTCAAGTTTCAAACTTTTCCAGTCTGGAATTATTGCTGCTCTGTTACATTGAATTCAACTCTCTTGTTTTTAAGCCCAGTTTTCCATATCAGCTCTGTATCCTACAAGACTACACCCCCTGTCCTATTGTGTAACTTCTTTCCCAAGGAGAATGGGCTTTTCAGGCTCCTGAACTCCCATTAGACAAAGGCCCAGTATTTATTAATATGCTTATGGTCTG